ACATGAATGGCTCTGATAGACAGAAAATGAACACTGCTCCACTGTAAAATAGTGTGAGACAGGTTCAGCAGGGGAAGGGACTGAGTCCCCCCTTGTCTGTTTATATAAGAGACCACTGCTGTGTTGTCCGTTCTGATTAGAAGATGATGGTTCTCCAGAACTGGACAAAAATGTTTCAGTGCTAACAGGATTGCTGTTTATGTGGAGCCTGGACTGTTGTGGAGTCCAGGTTCCCCTCACCGCCGTGCCGTCGCACAGGGCTCCCCAACCTTTCAGGGAGGCGTCTGTGGACACCACTTTGTGAAACGACACCCTCCCTATTGGAGAACACTGATACAGGAGGCCAGGTTCCTCCAGGGGCTGAGAGCCGTCATGCAGGAAGCAGTTATTGTTAGCTTTTTGTGTCTGTGTCAAGACGGACACAGCCTGTGGGACTGAGACCAACGCTGAAAACAGCGCATTTTTAACAGCCCGAGTGGTACTACTGAAATCATGGAAGCCATCATTCCCAGTAACTGTAGAATGGTTTTGAAGCTCAGTTTGCGTCCCAGTTTAAACTGAGCTAAGCAGCGGTGAAACGCAGCCTCTCTGTTTTCTGAGAGGTGACCCCTGCTTGACAAGGAGCAGATTTCTAGTCCGAGGAACGAAAACTGCTGACTTGGTGTTAATAGACTTTTCTGGGTGTTTACTAAAAACCCTAAAGCCTGAATGTGTGACAGAACCTGAGACAGCTGATCTAATGTTTGCTCCTTGGAGCTTGCGATCAGAGCCCAGTCATCTAAATATGCTAACAGCCGGACCCCCCTTTCCCTGAGAGGAGTCAACGCAGCTTCTACGCACTTTGAAAAGGTGCAAGGAGCTAGCGATAGACCGAACGGTAACACCAGGTACTCGTAAGCTACACCCTTGACGGCGAACCTGAGATATTTTCTGTGCTCCGGGTGAATCGCTATGTGAAAATAGGCGTCTGTTAAATCGATGGTCGCAAACCAATTGCCCAGGCTGATCGAGTGAATTAGCTGTTTGAGCGTTAACATTTTGAACCTGTATGTTTGAAGGTACCGGTTTAACACTCTCAGATCTAAAATAGGCCGCAGGCCGCCCCCTTTCTTCAGAACAAGAAAATAACGGCTGTACAGACCGTTTTGTGTTTCTGCAGCTGGAACCACTCGAATAGCTCTCTTTGTTAGCAACGTGCAGATTTCCTCTCTTAAAATGGCGGCTGCCTCGTTTGTCACCACTGTGTTTACAACGGCCCGAAAGCGAGGCAGCCTGATGCGGAACTGCAGCCTGTAACCCATAGCAACAGTTCTTTGTACCCATGGAACAAAGATAATTCTTTAATGACACATTGAAAACATTTGCAGAACTGTTTATTAAAGTTTTGCATTTTAAAACACAATTTGCACCCAAGTAGGGGGCTATATGTTTTTTTGTTTATTTTTCTGGACATTAGCAGAGGAGACTGAACATTTGAAACCCAATGCCTCTTGGGGCTGTTTTCTGAAACACAAACATTTTAATGTCTTTTCAACTGCAGCTGAACATTGTCTCTCTGTTTTTGAAGTCCCTGTGAAGACAGTCCTGCTGTTAGGAGGACTTTGACTTCTTCTTCCGAGCCGCTGAACTGTCCTGCTGACTCGGAGGGGGGACTCTGCTCCATGCCGATTGACGGGAGGCTGCGGCTTGTTGGAAGGTTCGGCGGGCTGGGCCTTTGAAGTCCCGGGCGTCGCCGCCTTCTTGAACGGAGGAGGATGAGATGCAGACCTGGATGTGCTCGGGGCCCTGGGCCTCGTGTCGCGTCTGGGGATGATGCAGCGAAGTGCCTCAGCCTGCTTCTTCCTCTGTTCAAATTTGGTTTGGACGACGTCAAGCACTTGACCGAACAGTCCTGTAGGCGTTATCGGTTCATCCAAGTAGGCTGCTCTGTCCTTGTCGGGAACGTCTGAGAGCGTTAGCCATAGGTGCCTCTGCGCCACCACAGTAGAAGCCATTCCTTTCCCCAGAGCCAGTGCTGCACAGCGGGACACACACAGGATGTGGTCTGATGCCAGTCTGATCTCGTTCAGCAGGGGTAAAAGGGGGTTTTCCTGCGGCATCTGAGCTGCCAGTTCAGCCAAGGCCATGGCCTGGTAGGTCTGAAGCATGGTGACGGAGCTCGGCGCACGGGCGGTGTTACCATGGGCTTTGTAGATTTTCTCCAGCTGTGCCGAAGAGAATCTGCAGGGCTTGGAAGGGAGCAGGGTGGGCCCGCTCACACCCTGGTTGTGAGACGGAGCCAAATAAGCGGCTAAAGAAGGCTCCCATCGGAGGGATGCCCACTAGGCCTGCTTGGTCTGCCCCTTCCACGTCCAAGTACTGACCCTGTCTGGGCACCAAGGTACGGATGGACAGCGGTTTGCTCCAGGAAGACATCAGCTCCGACACAAAGTCCGGAAACATAGGCAGACAGTGCTTCACATCAGCCGGTTCATATGGGAGATAAAACCCTGTGAACCTCGACGGCTTTTGAGCAGATGGGGGATCGGGCCACTGTACCTCCAGTTTAGCAGCAGCTCGGCGGCACAGGGACAAGAAGGACGAATCCTGGTCCACCCTCTCGGTTTAGATCCAGTAGAAACTGGGTCTCGCCCCCATCGATGTTGGGTGAGGCTGCCTCGTGCTCCATCTGGTCCGCCCAGCTAGCAGCGGGGGCTTCGACCGCCGAATCCTCGTCTTCGTCGGACTGAGCCGTCTGGCTTCGGAGAGTAGCGGGTCTTGTCGGAAAACAGCAGTTTCCCCCAGCATTTTCTCCGGAATTTCACTCTCCTCTCCGGTGTCGGACGCGAAAGTCCGGCACAGGCCCGGCAGGACTCGGGCTCCACAAGCGCCCGTCGATTGTGAATGATTCCAAGGCAGGCCGGGGAGGCCTCATGCTGGTCCTTCTCATGAAGCTTAAAGCCGCGCCCCTGAGGACAGGGCCGAACAGAAGACTTCGGCTTCTTCGAAGGTGGTTTTGTGCTCATCCTGAACCACAAAACAGATTTTCAGCAGAAAATAAAGGTCACTTAAGTAGCGTCGAGCGGCAGACACACGAACCAGCAGGTAACGCGGTTAGCACCAGTAAAGCTAGCCTAAGAACCTTAGAAGCTGAGCTAACTAGCAGCAGCTATGTGAGCTCAGGTTTAGAGGTGACTATCGCGAGGTGAAGGGCGATAGAACTGAGTAATGACGCTGGTGACTCCGAACGTATAGGGTGAAGGCGGAGTCTGTCACCCAACGTTCAACGTCACCGGTCTAAAGACGAGATTAGAGGTGACTTCGCGCGAGGGTGCACATGTCCCATATACAACTGTGTGTTGTACTGAGTGAAATGACTGAAAATGAACTAATTTTTCCCTCCCATTTTTACTTTTCTTAGGTGCATACTGGAGTACGAGCATTCCAGTGTCCTCACTGCCCTCTTACCTTCAAATGGAGCTCCCACTACCAGTACCACCTGCGGCAGCACACAGGTGAGAGGCCTTATGTGTGCAAAGAGTGTGGCAAGTCTTTCAAGAATACTAGCTGCCTGCGGAGGCACAGTCAGATGCATTCAGGACTGCGGCCTCATACATGCTCCATCTGCTCCAAGTCTTTCTCTCAGACATCAAACCTCAAACAGGTCAGTACAAACTCGTGAATGTGTTTGCCTGGTCCTCTGTTTTGTTACTTTAACTTTTCCTCTCTTTTGTCTTGTTTTTTATCTGGGGTGCAGCATGAGCGTACCCATTCTGGCGAGAGACCTTTCCAGTGCACACACTGCAGTAAAAGTTTTACACACTCCTCCAACCTTCAGCTCCACCTTCGCACACACTCGTCACGCAAGGACTTCAAATGCCCGTACTGCTCTAAGGAGTTTGTCATACACTCATACCTGCAGAGACACATCCGTACCCACGGCAGCAGCATTTCCCTTCCCAGCCATGGTGGTGGAAGTAAAGACGGCGTCGCTGTGAAAGCCAGTGTGGGAGGAGTGACCACCACCACAACCCTTTTCAATCCCATCACCCTGGAAACCTCAGGAAACAGTGGCAGTCTGATTGTCTCCCAGCCAGCTCTTAATATTCCCCCCAACACCTCCCAGAACTACTTTATGATTCAGACAACAAACGGCCTGCAGCTTATTCCTCTGTCATCCCCTGCACCACCTCCTCCACCTCCTCCACCGCCTCCAGCTCAGTCACAGAACTTTCTCCTCTTTCAGTGTCTTTCTAACAATGGCAGCCAATCCAAGTTGATTCTCCTCCCTGCAGCGAACAATCCTCCAGCAGCTCCTGATCTTCAGCCTCTTCCTGTGCTTCAGACTATTCAGGCATTCCAGCCCGTCCTCAACCAAACGCAGACTCAGATAGCCCCATTTCCAGCTGTTTCCCAGCAACAACAGCAAACCAAGATCATGATCACTCACACTCCACAAGCTCCAGTTGCCAAACCGACGCACAGCATCCCACCAAACTCCCTGCTGACCAGACCTATATTAGGAAGAAGCACACGGACAGCACGGGGCCGGCGGGGGCGCAAACCGAAAGCTGCTCTTCAGAAATCTTCATCAGCTACTGTCAGTCAGGCTGCAGGTGATAGAGCTGTTCCAGTAACAAACGGTAATGCTGCTGACACATCATCACTGGGGTCTCCATCCACTGATTCCCAACATCCCAACGTGTCAACACCTGAAGGCGGAGAGAGGAAATCACTTGTGTTGCAGATCAACAATGGTAGTCAAGACAAAGAAGAGAAGGAGGAAGATTTGAGTGGGATGGTGTCACTTCTGCAGGAGTGGGGTGGAAGAAAGCAGGGGGTGGGACAGGAGGAGAGGAAGGGCAGCCAGAGCAACTCATATGTCTTTAGTTTTCACACTGAGACACAGGACGGTGCTCCATCCACTCTTTCCTTCAACCAAGGGCAGGACAACAGCATGGAGCTTTCCTGCACACCCACCCAAGCTTTCATTCCCCTCGATGGGCAGGAAGTGGTGTTTGACCTCGGTGGGGGAACCAAGATAGAGCAGGAAGCCGAAGAAGGCATGCAGATGATAGCTCTGATCGAAGGCGAAGGGGAAATGATGGGAGAAGAGGGGGCAAGGTGCAATGCTGCAAGCGATGTCGTTTCTGAGCACGTGGAGGACATGGAAAGTATATTTCAGCTGCAAAACGGAGACGAAATTGTAATCATCGAGGTCAGCACCAGCGGGCTACGAGAAGGAAGAACGGAGAGAGGAGCAGAAGGGGAGATGTCTCCAAGAAGCGATGAGAAATACGAAACAACAGGAGATGCAAAGGAAAATTCTGTCAAAGAACACAGTTCTGTAAACAACACAGAGGTGCAATTATCAGCTGAAGCCACTAGGAAAACGGACTATGTCTGACTGCGTTAACAGAGAAGTGAACACCTCATTTTGTGGGTTGTTTGGTAGCACTTTAAGTTCTCCAGGACCTGAGAACAGTCGTACCGTTAGACGAGCATTGTGTTGTAATACAATGGTGTCGCAACTAGAAATGTTATACATTCAAATAGGCTGATTGATGGACCTCAGAATATTCCTATTAGTTAACTTATACTGTCATTGGCAGTTTGTTTTAGTAAATACAGTTATGTGAATAAATGTTGTACATGCCCCACTTTTCTCACAGGATTAATAGCAAATAGTAATGATTTATTAATAAATTGGTTAAAGTATTTGATTGTTTGACTTTTTTAACAATGAGACGAGTTTACTGCAAACAGCATTTTCTCAACTCCGTAACCTCTATAACATTAGAACTTTGCAAAATTTGTAATTTTGTGTAAAATTATAGATAAAACTAATCGTTTCAAAGAAATGATGTATAAGCTATTGAGTGATGCATTACATGTTATTGTGTGTATATTACTACACTTAAAATTCAATTTTCAAGTTTTAGTTGAGTGTGGATTAATAAATATGGTGCCACCATTTTTATGTTAAATTGTATAAATTCTATTCAAAAAGACATATCACAATTTAGTACAAAATTTCAACAACTAAAAATTCTATTAACTTCCTATTTCTACTTTTTGTTTTCACCATTTGTGGGAACATTTATAAATATATATTTATACGTACTGCTCTATTATTATTATTTTTTTTTGTAACTTGAGTTCCAGAGAAATACAAAATTCAAAACATCATGTCAAAACAGAAATCACAGCTCATCTATCAATCTAGACTTTAAACATACCAATAATAACAATCTGTTTGCCTGCTGTCACTGGTGCCTGAGCAATTGTACCATAATGTAACATTTTAGTATGATAATTTGCAATTTATCATAGACAATATTATCAGTTTAGTACTATTTGTAATTTCGAATGCTGAAGAAATGAAGATAGAAATAAATACATTTTAGTCAGATTAGCAGATTAACCAGATATGCACCATTTTTTAAATGTAGGTGCAACCCTACTTTTGTACTCCTCCACTTTTGGATTTACCGACAAAATGTTAATTTATTATGGAAATAAGAAGTGCGTGTGTTTACATTACTAATTAAAACTTTTTTCTCCACCCTCCTCTTTTGAGTTGGTTCAGTCCAAGTCTGCTCGCGCACCCATTAGCCGCTAGGCTAGCTAGTATTCAGCTGTTGAAATGATACGGGGTAGAGACTTGGATTGTTTTTAGTGTTAAAATCGTAGCGCATCTTTTTTGTCTGTAAATGAGACAAAACAAAGGGAAAACTTTATAGCTATAGCCCCGTTTTTAGGAGCATGTAATAATATCCACGTAAAAAAAAGTAAGTCCCCGGCTTAGCCTAACAGCGGAAATTACAAATAATTAATTATGCCATTTTTATATACAAGCTTGATCTATGTCAGACAGTGGTCAATATGAGCACAGCTATATGGTATGTCCTGGTTCTCAGCGGTTGCGCATGAGCAGAGCAGATTGTGCGTACGCAAATAACGCAAATCGACACACATTTACAACGCGAAACTGATCATAACACAGTGGGAACCTGGAATGCAGAGTTACGCAGTTTTCGCAAGCAGCCACATTGTGGTCATTGAATGAAAGCCACACGGATTGTTTGTGGACCAACAGAAACACGTTCACCGTGCCGTTTTTCTCCCCCCCACCCCGCCTAGCGTTGGAGTTTCATCTGAGCTTCTCTGCAGAAGGTAAGCAGAGCTGGGGTTCGTACGGTATCTGAAGCCCGCAGCAGTTCCCAGTAACCATGTATGGTTTGGAATCAGGTCATGTAGCTTTCAGCTGCACCTTTCATGAAAGCTGTGCAGCGTTAAGATGAAAATCTGTGATTATTGTAACAAACGGTGCATTCTGCTAATCCCCTCTAATCCTCTTGTGTTTTTGTTGTTTTAGGCCAGTTTGTGATTTTACTGTAAATCTGCATACATAGTGTAATGCATTTATCCATTTCATTTACGCAATTACTTGAAGACTCTAACCATCTGTCATCGAGAGAAACAATGATGTAAATGTAAAAAAAAAATACATGTATGCACTTTATCCTAAAATGTGTTTCAGGCTCTGTTGCACGGTGTGGATGTTCACCCCACAGGGTAGAAACCGTGGTGCAGAAGGTCTGCTAGTGGAGCCTGAAAATGGTGAGGCTGGAGCTTGACCAGGTCCTGATGAGGAGGATGAAGGAGGATGACATCGAAGTGGTCAAAGTCCTTGTCAAGGTTTGTCGCGCAGCTTCTCTTAAGTCAACGGTCAAGTCTGTGCAAAGCTTTTAAAAACTTGCATGGGCTTCTTTCCAGGAAGGCTGTGAGGGCACCGAGAACCGACTCATCCTCCACATCCTCACCCGTCCACTCTGCCTTTTTATGCTGGCCGTTTTCTCCTCGGTGCTGCGCTGCCTCGTCCACTCTTTCATCCTGGCACTCGCCATCCCCGTCTTCCTACTGATTGTGTTCCTCAAAATCACCATGCCACGGTCAACAGGGGTTCTGGGCAGCAGCCGCCCCTACTGGGACTACGTGGGCAGCAGCTACAGAGGGGTGCAGGACGAGACGCTGCAGAATCCCTACTGCAGGATCAGTGGAAGAGCACCAGAGATTAAAAAGGTTGGAAAACAAGCAGATTTTACTCAACTTTATATTGCAGGTACTTAATGCGGATCCTTTATTTATTTATTTCAGCAAAGACGGAGACTTGGATCCAAAGACAAGGAGGCGTCATCAGAGAAGATCACCCCAGAGAGGGAGCAGGCAGCAGGTCAGGTGTGGGTGGCAGACTGTGACGGGGAGATCGTGGGCTGCATCTTCCAGGAGAGTGAGACGCGACCAGGAGTGAGGAGGATCTGCAGGCTGGTGACGGGCTGCTGGTACCGCAGGGAGGGCCTGGGCCGACTGCTGATCCAGAGTTTGGAGCAGAGGGAGAGGGAGATGGGCGTGCACCGGGTCTACGCACATGTCCCTTACCCGTCCAAAGTGGGGGAAGCTTTCTTCAGGAAAGTGGGCTATCGACAGCTGGGGGAAGGGACTGATGAAGAAGACGAAGATGAAATGAGGAAGGAGACTCCAGAGAGAGGATTCATGGGATACCCCCTCACTAGGGTTTTTTACAAAGATTTGTAAAGGAGTGATTGACTTGTTCAGTTAAAACAGAAAGGTGACACAGTAAGTGCAAGAATAAGGTTAATTTTGAGTTTTTACCGTTTCAGGTTTAGTTATTTGTTAAAGTTAAATATTTATGAAGTTTTGTGTTATTTATATATTTATTTACCTCAAGTTTGAAGCTTTTTTTTTCACTTAAAAGCACATCTCTCTGTTTTTGTTCTCTTTATTTAATGCAGCATAAAAGTCATAATGCCTCAGGTGGGCTGTACTTTATGTGTGATAAAATAAAATATTTCTGTAAAATGTGGGTTTTAAACTGTTTGTGAGCTCTTCCATGAAACACAGGGATGTGTGTGTGTGTGTGTGTGTGTGTGTGTGTGTGTGTGTGTGTGTGTGTGTGTGTGTGTGTG